ATATATAATTATATATATATGAGGAAAGGCTTTGAGAATGTGAGAGAATAATCCCTGTATAAGTCTCACATTCAGAAAACAAAAACCTACCTTTGAAAATAATTCCAAGTCTCACATATTCTAGCCTATACAGTCAGGAATATTGAGACTATTATAAAATCAAGAAGGAACATAATAGCTTTTTGAAACAACCAGAAAATACATTATCAGATAGCATCGTATTTCTTCACATATCATTTACTGAGCATCATCTGTCTGACAGTCACTTGTCAGGCACTAGGGGTATGGCTGGGTACAGAGAAGAAATTCCTGCCTACTTTTATAACCTTCTTCTTGATAATCCCATGTAAACTAATTTTTTTTCAATTCACCTTCTAGAAAGCAATTACAATTTCTATATTATGTCTTTTAAGTTGTTCTCTCCTTTTCTCACAAATTTTACTTTTATTTATTTCTTCTATGAGTAAGAAAGACAGAGAGAAAGGAAAACAGAGAGCACCCTAGCAGATCTCAATGCTGTGATTCACCCTCAGCTTCAGCCAGCATCAGATCATGGACACATGTGTGCCTGGCCCACTCCGGGGGGTCTCCAGATATTAACATGGAATCTTTTGATGTTGGCCTGCCTCACAGAAAATTGCATTTTTAATGCTGCACCAACATCCAACCCTGGTCTCTCTCCCTTTCTTTATTCAGGTTTAATGCTTTTTTGCACTACTGAAATTTCTTAATTTCTTGCTTTTTACAATTAAATGACATCAGTATTTTACTACAATGATATTTATCCAAAATAACCTTAATATCTATTAAACATAATTTGGATACTGGGACCTGCAGATGAACTAACGGTTATGTCACTGAACTCCCACTAGTCGACCTCAGTTTGAGTCCCAGACCTAGCTACTAAAGGAAGATAAACGAAACAAAACAAAACCAAAAAACGCATGCTGGATGCATGTGCGTGCATGCCCAAAATCCCAAGTGGAGAATGGAAGAGAAGGGATGCAGTGTGGCCATCCCCCCTGGGGGTGATTTCTTACTTTCTGTCTCTCTTTGTCTCTCCGGCAAAAACATACACCCTATAGCAAAATTCTCAAGAAAAAAAAGAGGAGGAGAATACTAATATTTTAGGGTTTTGAAAAATACTTTATTATTTACATTTAAATCACTGGACATCTTTACGGTGCACAACATGGTTTTCCCAGC